AAAGAACAATTAAAAAGTTAAGAAACTGTCTCAAAGGCATTTTTTTTACAATCCGTCCTCCACAGTAAGGTAATGTTATAAAATAATCCAATCCATTCACAAAATGGCTTTCTGATTCTGCTCTGGTGTCTTCTGCCGTATCACTGCATATTTATACATGACAGAGAGGAGAGTTTCCTTAACATTGTTATTTCGATAACCTAAAGTTATTTTTTTTTGGAGAGGTTTTTGCTATAGGGCACATGTGCTCACCAGAAAGACAGAGAGAGAAAGAGAGACAGAAAGCGAGCAATCACTCCCCAGGGGGAGTGGCCACACTGCAATCCCTTCTCCTCCCGGAATCCTGGGCATGCACACACACACATGCGCCCAGCGTGAGTTTAAGCCACCAGGTCTGGGACTCGAACTGCAGTCGACTACACGGGAGTCCAGCCACATAGCCATTAGGCCAACTGCTGGTCCCTGAAGCTGTTCTGTTACCTCTGAGCTTTCATCCTCTCCTATTTATACAGTGAAGCCCATGGCAAAGAGGAAGAAGCTCAATATCGGCTCCTCCCACTATAACCCCCACTTTCTCCTGGACCATAGTTTTCTCCACCATATAGTATCCCCCTGTTCCTGCTACCACCAAAGTTTCCACTTTTCATTGGACAATCGTTAGAAGGTTACTGGTTATAGTTTCCAAAATCATTGTAATTTCCACTTCCATAATTTACTCCTCCATCGTTGTCATAAGCACCTCTGTAGCCCACACCCTGGTTGCTATATCCAGGTCCTCCACCACCATATCCTCCTCATCCTCCTTCATAACCAGAGATACCTCCTAAATTGCCACCTCTAGGAAGTTTATTTATTTTTTTAACCTAGATGTGACACATTAAAGGGCTTGAAGGAAACAGGTGTTAAAATGTTCTAAAATGGCAAACCGTACGGTGAAGGATGAGGCGCTAACTCTCAGTATCTGGTAGAGAAGATCATTCGGACATGAATTTATAAGTCCAAGTACTGGAAAGAAGAGTACTTTGGATTTACAGCTGAACTTGTAGATGATAAAGCCATGGAGCTAAGGTTTGTTGGTGGTATCTATGGTGGCAAAATAAAACCAACTCCCTTTCTATGTTTAACATTGAAGATGCTTCAGGTTCAACTGGAGAAGGATATAATTGTGGAGTTTACAAAAAATGAAGATTTTAGGGGGACCAGCAGTTAGCGTAATGGCTATGTCGCTGGACTCCCACGTAATCGACT